CCTTAGTTTTTCCCAGGAGGTCTCCCGTCCAGGTACTGACCAGGCTCACGCCTGCTGAGCTGTAGTGGGGCTGCCAGCTGTGAGCTGCAGGGTGATATGGCTGCTGGCGATAGTACAGGTCGCCAAAGCATTCTGTTATAGGCCACTGTTGCTGGACGGTGCGTTGCCCCTCTGGTATATCATGCATCAACCATGCTTTCTCCTGATTCTCACCCCAAGCTACCGTGCTCCTGCACTGTACTCCCTCCCTTTCATGCGAGTTCTCTGTGAAGACGGTGTGATAGGACCGCTTGCTCCAGCTGTGCTGTGTGGCGGTCTGTCAAATGCAATGTCGGAAATGGTTTTAAAAAGCGGTCGTTCTTCTGCATTGCCAAAGCAATCTGTTGCTAGGTGTGTCGAGAGCCAATTGCAGCACGCTCGCTGTGCGCGCCCCGCCAGTGTCTGAGGATCACAAAATAGCTTGATCCAAACAGAGGAGCAAGCGGAGGTTGATTCCACCCTGGGAAGTGTAAAAAAAAAAAATAGAAAAATGGTTTGGCTTCTTCAGAGGAGGGACGACCAGAGCAGAGAGGTGAGGTATAGAGGCGTGGGAGCCAAGACAAAAGATCAAGAATGTGAGAGGTAGGTAAGACGAGGTGACACAGGGGCTAAAGAGATGGAAATCGGAGATGTGAAATTCAGTATGAGAAGGCAGCGATCTGTACATTGAGACAATGGAAAGAGATGTGTGAATCGTTGAGCGCTGGGGGGACTGTGTGAGCCAGGTTTAAGGATTATTTTGTAGGAGTGTGTGAATCCCTGTGAATGGAAGGCAAGGGGAAAGATCATGGCTGGGAGAGTAAGTCAGCGCGGGATAAATATATAATTTTTTATTTATATATGGTGTCAAATGGGGATACAGCAGTTCTTCGAGAACTATTTCTTCAAGACGGTGTGTGTGATAATACACGAGAGTAATTGTTTTGTTCACCCACCTCGGAGAGTGTCAGTGACCTCCTGTTTAGCTGACTGGCTGGCTCTGGGCCTGAGAGATGCCTGACGCCGTGTGGGGATCAGATAAAGAGCCGAGGGCCAGTTGCGTGTGATCACCACTGGCGTTGTTCAGGATCGGCTCAGTTTACATGTCAGGCGTTGTGACTTCACTTTCGGGAAATGGGACTTCAGATCATCAAGACAAACGTCCAGATAAACAACTTTAATTAATTTAAATAAAGAGGGCTGCCTTAGATTGGATTAAAGATAATCCCATTTTAAATCTAGAGAATTGTCTGATAATATCTGAGCATTTGAGTATTCTTTTATGTGGAGCCAGCATGCTGTAGCTTTATCAGGTAGTGCAGAAGAGTCTTAGTACCACGTTTCCCTTTGAGCTCATCACCACCTGTTTCAGAACTAGTTTATCAAGTCTGGCAGAATAAACCAGGAATTAACTCAAATGCCACGCTAACCCGCAGCCTGCAGCTTTTAAGAGCTACGTAAGGCTATGGGCGTGGTCTGTCCTATTCAGTGACTGATGGTTTTGAAACCTACTATACTGGATTTTCAGATCTGATAAAAATTCGAGCATGTGGTTTTGTAAGAGTATTTCTTTTGAGGGTGCGGTCTTCAGATTCTGGAGAAGGACTACATGTATTCTGTCACATTAGGGACCTCACAAGATTAGAACATTGTTTGTAGTCAAACGGGAACAAAGACATAATTATGTTTCCCTTCACTTCTGAAGTATGCAGTCCTTTAAATTGTGCTGAACTGTTCCCTCGCTGTGACAGGATTGTTTATACAGAAAGCTGACCACTGCCTGTTGTGATCCATGCTTTGTAGAGGTTATTAATTTCAAGATTAAAATATTGTCCGTTAAATGGAGGTTTGCTTTTTATTGGTTTTCTTCTTTATACATCGTCCAGCTTGTCAGAGTTCATGCCACTGGTGCACAAAGAGTTGTGGGTGGCTGGAACAAGCTACACAGCTGTGCTGTCTAAATGGCTGGAGTGATTCTTGGATCCATTAGCTAATAAAATTCCCCCTTTTTACATCGTGGCATTGTCACAAAAATAAACTCGGTAAACAATGGGATCATTAAACTTCAGCATAGTTGTTGTTTTTTTATTTACAAAACGACACAAACTGACAAAATTTCCCCGTGGGTGCAAGGACACACCGGAGTAAAACGTTAAGCTAGGATGAAAAACAAACAATTCTTTTTCAAATCTAAAAAAATAATACATTGATGAGATTCATGTTTTCCACATCTGTTTTCATTTTTCGCAATCGCGGCGTACAAAGTCAGTACAGAAAGGTGCATAGTGTCCCAGCTTTGACAACCAAAGCAGACGTGAATTATCACGCAGAGTCTACCTCAGCAGCTGCCCTCCTCCGTGTTTCTAGTGTGAAGGGTTTTGCTACGCTTTTTCCGACTGCGGAAAGCATCAACAGCTTACAGAGCGCCTTTATGGTTGAACAGATAACTGATGTGGGAGTTTGTGTCGTCCGTGTCATTGTTATGATGGTTTTTGAAGAGATGCATCACTCTGGGCAAACTTTTCGCAGGTTTAGGGATACCATTTCTCAACGCTTTGTTGCTCGGGATCTAGATATTTTATACTTTTTGACATGCAGCTGTCAGCTTGGTTCACTTGGGGGTCAAATTGTAGCTGGTTTGTGGGTTCTGCAGCGTGGCACATATCTAGTTCATTTCCGCTAAACTCTGTGGAGAATACGTCCGCGCAGCCTAGGTGTCAGAGTCCCTGCTGTGGACATCTGCTGCCTCCTTTGGTAGTGGAAACATTACAGGTACGTTCTTTTCCCACTTACTGAACATATTTCGGACAGTCCCTTAGCCAGCTTCCCCACACCCCACTGTCTCCAAGTCCACAAACTCCCAAGCCCCCTCAAGAATCTGTGCGAGAACAAAAAGTTGGTCTGCTGTTCCACAGCCAGGACAGAGCCCATGTTCCTTCTCCTGTCTCTGGGGCTCAGCTGTCAAGCGGAGTCTTCTTTCCAGCACCCTGGCACAGGCTTTCCCAGGGAGGCTGGGGATCCCTCTGTAGCTGGAACACACCCTCTGGTCCACCTTTTTAAAAATGGGGACCACCACCCCAATCTGCCAATCCAGAGGCACTGTCCCGCCTTCCAGGTAAACATGAAGAGACCCGTTAACCATGACACCCCAGCAGTGTCCTGCACCTTCAGTGTTACTAGCCAGATCTCATCCACTCCTGCTGCCCTGCCGCTACGGGTCTGTTTAATCACCACTGGGACCCCAGCCACAGAAATGGACCCGGTCCCATCAGAGTGCTCCCTTCACCTCTCAAAGTTTCTCCTGCCCTTGGGCGACTCTCCTTCAGTGTCGTCGAATGGTCTTCTGGAACATCTTCCAGGCTGCCTGACAGTCGTTCTCCATGGCCTCTCGGAGGAGCTGTGAACTACAGTCCCTCATGCAAATAGTTCAGATGCAAGATGCAAAAACAAAGCAAACTTATTAAAAAGACTCCCTCTTACTCATCTGTCTGTATTTACTCGCAGGATAAAGTCACACACCTGAGATGTCCAGCACCTGGAAGTCCTAAAGGACATAAGAAGTGGTGCTAATGAAATGACACAATTTATCTTGTTTGATTTGAGTGATAGTTACTGTTTGACCCAACATCCCTGCCTCTTGCACATGGAAAGATTCATGTTGTTGTACTTAAGAGTTGGTGTGTTTTAAGCTGCTGTGGAGTGACTGCGTGCGGCCTTGGTTTCTTTATACGTGGCTGAGCCAATACAGAGGATGAACACCGGTTCATTTTCATGGGGGATTATCCTAGACTGCAACAGAGCAGGGCCGTTACAGTAATACAGCTCTCTGTGCCTGTGTGTTTCTTTCCTCGCTGGATGAAGTTCCTCTGCGTGTATCAATCGGCCTTCCACTGTCCAGCATAGGCTTCCAATGAAGTCAGATTAGTATAGCTAGCTTGGTAGGACTAATTAGGTTTTATAGGCATTGTTAACAATGATGTTCTTGCAAGTATAGATCATAGAACGAGCTGATGTAAAGGTTTTCTGCAGTGCACTGTTTCAAGAAGCAGAGGTTTCAGCACAGTTCCTCGGTACGAAAAAGGTTTTCTTGTGGCAAACGGCAGTTCTTGTCAGGAGTACAGTGTCATAGCCCATGAGTATCCTCAGATCAGATAATCCTGCACGTACCTGCATGGTTGCCTATTGATGGGTCACACCCGTCTCAAATTGATGAATGTTTTTTTTCCTGATTAATGTAAAAGGTTTTCTTTAAGCAAAGATTTCTGTAACACTTCATCAACATATTTAACAGCAATGTCCTAAACTGACCCACTGGACCATGTAGTGTGGCTGCAAAGGTGAACAGATTAGCCCTTAGATCTAGACTGCTGCTAGTTACACCCCTGTGCTGGAATTGATAGGCTACTTTGTCCTATTGTCCTTCTGTTCACAGTTATATTCTATACAGATCTCTCAGCTGAGGGATTGTGTTACACTAATAAAAGGTTTTTGTCTATTCTTTCGGACATGGTATGGATGCCCTGAGAGCCATTGTCCTGGAGGCTGTGGTCCATCTCTCTGCTGATACGCCAGAAAGCGCTCCAATTGCAGATGTCGTCTGGCGGGTTGCTGAGGGTGCCCAGGTGCCTGCGTTTGACCCAGGACACCACCCCAATCAGGAAGCTGTTGGCACACAGCATCCATAGGAGGTTGACGTTCATATAGGAAGGGATGGCAAAGTCCAGAAGTGTGCAGATGATGTTGATCATCAGAAAGGCAATCCAGTTGATTGTGAAGACCAACGTGATGCTCAGTAGGAGCGGTAGGCCTTGCATTTCCTTTTGCTCTGCCGCAGACTGAGCGTGGTCCTTCCCGTCCTCAACCACCTCCTCTTCCTCCTGGGAGAGCTTTCTGTAGCTGAAGGCCAGGTCGCTGTGGAGCTGGTCTTCAGGAGCTTCATTGAACAGATCCAGGCTATATATTGTCCTGAAAACCCTGGGCAGCTGCCTCCAGAAGTAAAGTGTGATGCCACAGCTGCCCAGGGTTGTCCCTATGCAGAAGTATATGATCACTTTGGAGTCTAGGACGGGGCAGAAGAGGGCATTTTGTCCTTGGCGGAAGGTCCCCACTAGGACAGTGGCGTTGGTGTGGCGGTAAGCGTAACACATGGCCAGCGCCCACACCAGCAGCACCTCTGCGATGTACAAGATGGCCCTCCTCCAGGACATTGGGTAGGGGTGAGAACGCAGGCTGCGGGCGTAGTCCAGAGTCCCCAGAAGGAGCACGGGCAGGGGCAGCTGACGGTAGGCTGTGGACGCGTGGGCGAGAATGTAGCACAAGGACTGGGGCGTGTCCACAAAGTCACCGATGAGCCACACAGTCGCTAACCCGCAGAGCAGCGCTACGTCAGCGATGAAGAGGGACATGCAGAAGAAGCCCATGAAGGATTTCCGCATGCTCTTGAAGCTGGACATCGTCACCAGGGCATTCAGGGCCACCTTAAAGAGCAGGACAGCCACAAACTGTAGCGTGTTGTCCTCCAGGACCGAGTCCTCCTTGTGCCACTTTGTCTTCAGTATGGCCATCATGCTTCGGATGGAGTTGCTGATGTTATGCATGTCCTGCCAGGCTCTGTTTGTCGAAGTCTCGGGTTCAGCCGGCAACCTTGATCATCCCCCTCGCTGTCCCCTCGCAGAAAGACGAAGCCTGTGAGGCACAGAGAGAACAATAAGTGGAACATCCACAAACACAAAGGGAGCAGGTGCAGGTTATTCTGGTCTGGGGAGTGTGGAACACACAGGCTGCAGTGCAGATCCGGTTTTGGTCTTCGCTGGCTTTGAGTTTAAGTTGAGCGTGGCTGTAATCTGCAAACACAGACATTTCGAAGGTGTCAAAACAACCCCTTCTGTCCTCCCACCCAAAACAAACAAGGAAGTCGAAGATTTGTTGTCTCAAACCAAGGAAGAAGGGCCTAGCGAAGAAAGGATAAGAACTGATGTCAACAAATTAGTATATGTATGCACATGCTCTGAATGCCCGTCATACTTGCAAGAGAAACACGTGAAAACGTACCAGGATGCTGTCCTACTTAGAGCAATAGTTGGCAGTTGCTGTCTTTCCATGAAGTGTAAACGTCAGAGTGCCATCAGTGTAGTGGGGCATTGTCTTCAGACAAAGCAGTTTTTCAAGATACTTCATTGTCTCTCGGAGCGGGTCAGGCTGAAAAACTGCCTGGGTTCTTGAGCAGATGGTGAATTTACATGACATTTGCATTGCATGTTTTTTAATGTATAACGTGATATACAAAATACGCTTCCATTATTGCTGATATTATATTAAAAATGTTACTGTGTTTATTAGTACGTAGCTAATTAAAACTGGATTGAGGTAATTGATAGTTAACCATAACCTAACATAACATACCATGTTAGCAAATAAACCTGACATTTTATTTTACGATAAATTTTGATGTATGCTGGAATTCACTGTGACTGGACCCAAGAAGCTGACAGATAAAAACTCTTCAACATGTAGGGTCATAGTTAATGATCAAATAGTTTATTTTTCTAAATAGTAACATTATGATTATTTTGGAACACAGTTGTTTAACCTAGTAATTTCTTATAGTGATTATAAGACGCAAGACTGTGCATACAATACGGTGCAGTGCTTTCGCAGAAAGACAGCAACAGCAAGATGAGTTGCCTGTTATCCTAGAGAAATTGATCGATAATACAAACAGATACCCTGGCTTCTTTACACAAAGGGTTGTGGGAGCATGGAACAGGCCACACAGTTTTGTTGTTGCAGCCAACACCCTGACTTCATGCAAGAAACTGCTAGATGAGACCCTTGTGTCACTTACTTGCCAACTACCGGATAGGAAAGATGGGGTCAAACAGCCTTGTTTCATTTTCCCCATTCATATATCCATGAAAGTGAAGAAACTGAAAAGATCAAGTTCCTGTGTGTGATTCTGTGTGTTCCTGCTGACACAGGTCTTCTCCAAAGAGGCAGCTTGTTTCAGATCCTAAAAAGATTAATAACATTCGTACCACATAAAACACTGCCTCTTTGTGTACTGATCATAGCCAATGTACTGTACTGTCCTGTACTGCACTGCAAAGTAATGTAGCATTTTTACTTTGCATATTGTAAAGCCTGCAAATCTTGTACCCAGCCCAACCCACTCCTAGATGGAATATTATCTTGCACTGTATTCTGTAAATGTGATCATGGCAGATAGTAACTGCGCAATTTTTCTGATTGACATCTGGAACTTTCGGAACACATTAAATTGCAGTTATGTAAAATTTCGAGCTATTTGCCTGTATTCAAATAATTGCACAAGCTGAAGAATGATTTCCAGCGATTTTCGGCAAGGTGAATAATGCAAGTTCGGTGAAAGAGTGTGTAGTACTGTAGCGCTAGGGGGGTTGTGAATAAGCTAACTGCCTGGGGTTTACTGAGCATGCCCAAACTACAGTACTCCACAGACACACACCTGTATTCAAACCCTTTGTCGTGCTCTGCAGTGTGACTCAGCCAAATGTTCTTTACCCTGGACCTGTAGTGTCCACCATCGCGAAACACCTCTCTTACAGTACAGGCTCATAGCAGAAATGTGCTTGCTGCACCAGCCTTGCCACCTTATGAACTTCTGTTACTCGCTTTTTTTCTGATCTCATTTTTTCATTGGTAGAGGTTGGAGCCACTGTGTTTTGTCTGTTCTTACACAAGGAGGATCCTGGGTTGGGCTGATTAAAGGGACGAACGAACCAAAGGCAGGTTACAGACGAGCGGAGGGCGTGCGGTCGAAGCTGAAGTACGAGCTTCAGCCACATGGCTGGATAGCTTGCTCCATTCTCCCACAACCCTTTGTGTAAAGACATGCCTCCAGTTTACAGTGGGCGAGGTAAAGCCCTGGTGTCGCTTAAAAGTCCAGACTGGGCATCCACGCTTTGGAGTTGCTTGCTCTAAAAGCAGATTCCACACCTTTGTCACTTGAAACCTGGCAACACCTCTGACAATGCACCAGAGCTTTGCAAACTGTTCGTAATGAGGACCTATTTACGGTATGCTGTCATGAAGCACGAGACGGCAGTGCACAGGAACAAGAATGAACTGGAAACGACACAATGTTAAAGCCGCACAAAAGTCTTATCCACTGTAGCCTCTCTTGCATAGCAACCAAATGCTAAGCAACACTCCCATGTCACAGAGAAGCAGATAAGATTAAATCCAAACATTTGCTTGACTGTTTTTAGATTTCGTGCGGTCTTTCTTGCCCTACTGGAGATAAGTTGCTACGGTCTTGTGTGTTATTCCAGTTTTCTTGAATATGTTCTGTGGGTTGCTGTGCTGTTAGATCTGTTGGCTGCGACATCTGCAACTCATGCATTTTACTTGAAACCTTGGTTACTGTCAGTATGACCACACGTTGACATTTTATACCATACGTTTTATACCTTGTATTGTTTTATACCATACAAGGAATAAAATTGCGGTGCACTCATTGTACGTGTATATTTTCTTTAAATATTTTTAGAATGGTCATTATAAAACAGAGCACAAGAGTTATATAAATGTAACTATTAATAATTCGTTTTTCAATGTCTCAATATCACTTTCTCGTTGCTCCCCGGTGGTATCTTAATAGTGCTAAGTTTTGCATGATTAAAATTGATATTAGTATTTTCTAGCAGAAGGTCAATTTCCCACTTGCAAAAAGGACATTTCACAACCTGCTGTTTCGAATATAAAAGCAGTAGAACAAAAAACATTGAAGCCAATATTTTTTCGACCACAATGAAATACTAAATTCTGAGCTTTTATAGAATTTGTCTTATTTTTTAATTTTTTGGGGGGGGAATGAAAAGCCCCCTTTTCACTTTTCAAAAGCCAGATATGAACTTGTTGTTAAGACAACAGACTTGACGGGTCAGGTGTAAAGTACTAATAGGCTAGTCAGGTTTACGAGCACAAAACTGGGAAACGTAATACTGTGGAAACCCTAATTATTCCATGCTTTTCCATTATTGGACAGGCGTCATGCTTTGAAACTGCTGAACCAACAACGTCTTCATTTCACTGTAGCTTAGAAGCTGCTTAAAGGTTTAGGTTTGCAAAGCATCAGCTCTGCTGTTGTTTTCTTTTATTCCTCGGGTGTGTCTTTGATGAAGGAGTTTGTAGAAAATCTCACACTGTGTTTTGCGCAGTCTTGCCGTCAAAAAAAAGGCACAACGAACCCGTTTTCCCATTACCGGGCCAACGTACTGCAAGTGGTTGCTGGTTAGATTCAGAAATCTCCTGTCGCTTTTGTGACAACGTGGGTTGTGAAACTAAAGGCTCAAAAAAACCGTGTCTGACAGCTCCTGGAATTTAACCATAATCCGGTACTTTTACTCCAAACGCAGCAACACGTTTCGTTTATAGAACGAGCTTCACTGCTAGTTTCTAATTCCTCTGTCATAACCTTTGAGGTTGTCAGTTGATTAATTTATCTTTCCAGAAGGAGTCACAGCTCACACCCCTATCTTTGTTTACGGCGATTTGGCCCCAGTGCAACTAGGAGGTTTGCGCTTTGAAATTGACCAGATGGAATTCAGTACTGAGTTTTTTTTGGTGCCGCACTGGTCGCATTAGAAATGATAAAACGGCACTGTTTCTCACCTTTGTAAGATGAGCATGGTTATTCTTGTTTTGCCAGTAAATTAAAGCAAAAAATCGTGCTCCACCCCCTCCTTTAGCGCTCTGACTATCGCCTTTGGATTAATCACCTTTGCCAGTGGGGACAGGCATGTGTCCATTTTCTAACCACTGTCTCCCAGTTCAGGGTCACTGCGGAACCAGAGGCGATATCAAGCAAGCGGGCGCAAGGCAAGGCACACTCTCGCATGGCAGCCCGTCTTCCCAAACGGCAAATAACCTGCCGGTATGTTTGTGGTCTGTGAGAGGAAGCCCATGTGAGCCCAGGGAGAACATACAAACTCCACACAGACAGCACCCCAGGTCTCGACCCAAACCCCCTGCTCCAGTGCCGAGAGGCAGCAATGCAGACCTCCGCGGCGTACTGATGCCCATGTCTAAGTACACTTTAACGATAATTAATAAAACACGGTGAGAACATACAAACTCCATGCTGATAGCACCCCAGGAATCGAACCCAGGGCCCCAGCAATGTGAGGCAGAAATGCTAACCACTGTATCACCATGCTCCTGGCAAGTGAGACATTAATGGCAGAAACCTGGTTTTATTTAGAGACCGCAATCAGTATAATTCACTAGTAGCCTGAAGCATTACAATTTCAAACATGCTTTATTTGAAAGATTTTAACTTGAATAATCTGCATTATACTTCCTCAACATCTTTTGCGTATCATTTCAAGAGGACATGGGTATTGTTCAGGTGAGATAATTTAGTCAGTGAAGGATCTGAATGAAAAACAGGGAACTGTCTGAGTTTCTTTCCCAGTTCTCTGTACTTCAGTTTAGCCCTTGCGTGCAAACAGTAAAGAGGAAGAGAACCGCACAATTTGAGAACCGTTGATTCAAAACGAGTTTAATTGTATCAGATTCCAACTAAAATGGCAGAAACGTACACGACAGAATTCATAGATCGCAGAACTTATCTTTTATACTGCATTTTTTTTTAAAGTTAGGAACGCTGCTAACTCCCATGTCAAGCTAGAGAGCAACAATTGCGACACTGCTGTAGAAGAGCGAAACACTTCACTGATAAAACAAATGGAACCACGGTCTGGATGATCAGAAGTTAGAATCAATAATAAAAATAATTTGCATCTCCTTTGTAAATAATAGAATTAGACTGCTTTTATACATTTTGGATAATTAAAGGCATGGTTCGCACCTCCCGGATTCTGGAAATTTGATACAGTTTCCTGGATGCGTTCTTTTCAACCTTTCATTAGTAATCCCTAGCTGTCTGCATACTGTACTTCGCACAACTGCCTCAGTTTAGTGATCGTTAAGGTGTATTTCGTTTAGAATCTCACCTGGAGTGAAGAGGCCGGGAAACGAGGTGTGTGGCTGCAGGCAGTTCTGGTCTCCGAGCTGAGTGACTGCTCCTGTGCAGGAGAGCTCTGTCAGGGGGCGGGGCCTACTCGCCCACACCTGTTCACTCACAGGGCGACCAACCTAGCTGCAGGAGGGGCGGGGCTACGGTGGGCCGGGTCATGGGAGAGGTGGGGCTTTCCCAGCCCCCTCGGCTTGTGTCTTCTTGTCGTGAGCTGATCGTCTGCCACGGCCCGCCACTGTTCACTTTACACGCGCTTTGTGAGGCCCTTTTCTTTAGACGCACAAGAGCAGGAGTTGCTGAGGTGCATTTGCTGTGTGGAGGCAGGCCATGTAGGGCTCTTTGTGTCATATGAGGAAATGTGAAAGACTTGTAGGGAGATTCGTGAGGTTTGAAGTTGACCAAAACAAAGGCTGAATAGCAAACTGTTGGGTCTGTACATTGGCGTTTTGAAGGCAGTACCGACTGGGAGGCCTGGTGCTGGGTATTGTACAGCAAGACCCACTACTTTAGACTCGTCTTGTGTTAGTTCTCTTAGTGTTTGAGTTTTCCATGGCGTGTGCACTGCACTGGCCTCACAGTCATTTTATTCACCATCGTCAAAGTTGTATTCTGATATGGGCACCATGATGCCTCGCAGCACTGGGGCCCTGGTTCAGTCCTGGATCTGGGGCGCTGTCTGTGTGGAGTTTGTCTGTTCACCCCCAGTTTGTGTGGGCTTCCTCCAGGGTGCTCCGGTTTCCCCCCACGGTTCAAAACCCTGCTGGGTGGTTAATTGGCTTCTGGGTTAAATTGGCCCTGGTGGGTTTGTGTCCGTTTGTGCTCTGCGACGGACTGGCGGCCCGTCCAGGGTGTACCCCGACGTGCACCCCTTGGCTTGCCATGATAGGCTCCCGCTCCCCAGCATCCCTAAATTGGATAAAGTGGTGAGAAACTGGAAGTATTTCAGTGTTTTTGTGCCTGTCACCTCACCCTTAATGCAACCTTTGCATATATTGAGAGCCACCCCCTTCTTTTCTTCCCAAGCATCCTGTTTTCCCGGCGGATTGTAGCTGAACCGGTCCTGCAGCAGACCAGCAGGCAAACTCCTGAGCACAGAGGGGCCTTGGAACCCCCCTGCCAGCCTCCAGCCCACGCCCTGCACAAGTGCTCTGCTGTGCGAGTAAATAGAAATACCAGCACCCTTCTTTTCAATGTTAGATGCAAAGAAAGGGGCCCTGAATGGCAGTTCAAGGTGTTTATGAAAAGAGCCGCGACGCATGAGGAAAGCAATAGGAATTTAAATTTGAAGCAGTTCAGGTGGGCGTGAGCGTAGGCGCAGACTGCAAAGGAACAAGTAAGAGGTTTATTCCCTTCTGAAAAGACAAGGAAGGAAGCACAACATTTCGGCCATGGAGCCTTTTTTAGGCGAGAAAGATGGGGCAGAATTAGAATGTAAATTTAAATTTGTCATTGTCTGTCTGCAGGCAGTGAAATGAGACTGTGCAGTCTTTGGCAGAGTAGGCAGCAGTGTAGAAAACAGGCACAGGTATTATTTTGCATGTGCTGATCTCACTCCAGCTGCATAGTTCTGCACATGGTCCTTATAATAATAATAATAATAATAGCTTACACTTATATAGCGCTTTTCTGGACACTCCACTCAAAGCGCTTTACAGGTAATGGGGGCTCCCCTCAACCACCAACCACTATCTCCACTTCAAGAAGAAATAAAGACCGGATCTGGAGAAAATCGAAATTGTTCACCATAATACACGAGTGGTGTTCTGCTTCTGCGCTCTTGATTTTAGGACACCCCTGCCTTTATTAAAGGTAGCCGTGTTGTGAAGTTAATCTCTCAGTTGTTCTGTGATGGATTCCTGTCGAGGGCAGGGCAAAAAATAAGCTGCTCTCAGATGACTGACGCATGTGTTCAAAATGCTGTATGATTGGAGTCTTGTTCTGTTTACCTGTAAGAGTTATGTATGGCTGTTTTCTTTAGATTTGCCGATTTTTATTTTGTTATGCCACTGGTTTGTTTTTTGCATCTGGGCTCGTGGCTGTGAACCCCATAACCTTGCACAGGGGAGAATTCTGGACAGACTCCTCCATGATGCCCACCTTTGAGCCCTCCGCCCCCCCCCCAGCACCTCACAGGTAACACAGTCCTGTCTAGTGGTGAGCTGCCTCCCTCACTGACCATTGTGATCAGATGATCTTGCAGATGAAGAGCATTTTAAAGGGAAGCAGTAGAGCCCATTTGCTGATCTTGCTACGCTTACAGTTTGGTGTGTAGTGGCGAGAGTAGTTTAAAAGGCACAGATACCTGTTTGTGCTCTGCTCCGGAGCTCCCTGTGGGTGCAGTGTGGTGCTGGTGAGAGCTCTTTCCTTCGAGGCTTAACTGCACCACCTTCTGTCACCGTAGGAAAGGCACATTCACTGGAGCTCAGTCCCAAGACTTGGCCTGGAGTTCCTCTGATCCGATTCTCTGAGCACTGCCCTGTAGCAGCAGTTCTTCCAGACAAATGAATCTCTTCATCAGAGTCACAGAGAGGCCAAGCCCTTCTCCAACCTGTGGCAGCTGGTGTATGCCTGAGCCTGGCACTGTTCATTTCCTGCAGCCGCAGTGAATCTTAATGGGCAGATTTTAACACAAAAGCCTGCAAACACAGATGCTTGGATGGGCTGTGTGCAGATGATAAAGAAAAGTCACAATTAGGGTCAGGTGGTGTCACTGGGTACTATTGGATGCTTGCTGAGATGAGCTTCACCTCCCCTGCTGCTCTAAAAATGGATGAACAGGTTAGAAAATGAATGGATGGATGAATAGTCTACAGACTGTAAGCAGCTATTTTACTTTGTTCTGTATCTCTTTTGCTGCCTGTGCATGTGTAATATATCCTTATTCTATGTCAGCCTTTCCTATTGTCACCTTACAGTGCATAAAGCTTTGAAAAGGTGTTTTCCAATGTAATGAATAAAAAGAAATGAGTTCGAATAGCTCATGCAAATGTTAGTGATTAAGTAAAATGACAACAGGCCACTGCACACTTAGGTAAGTACTGTAGTGAAGTGCAGCACTGTATAGGACGTACACAGGCACTGCCATAGGATTTGTGAGGGACGTGTGATGTTTTGCACAGAACTTTGCTTCGTATTTCATATTGAAGATCTTTACTTATTTATCGCTCTCCAGTCAGAAGAAATGTTTCAGAAATGGCAAAAACCAGGCCTACACAGTATGAAGTGAACTGCTCTATACTGGTTGTGGAAAGCCAAGTTGCCTGAGCTTCCTTCACACACGGAACAGAAACTTGTAATCAGGGGAAGACAGGATTGACGAAACGATGGTCAGAATTTCTTTGAATCAATGAATTATGAATTAACCTGTATCTTTTGCTAAGACTGCCTTGCTCACTCGCTGTCACAGTTCTTGTCTGAGTCCTTAGTTACTTTATCTTTTGGAAAGTTAGTAACGGGGAATTTTCTCAGTGCTTTGGCAGAATGCCTGATGAGTTCATTAGGCTGAATGCAGTCATTTTCCTCAAACTTGGCTGAAGACATAAGGAACAGGGTGCGATCATTTTAAAAGCAACTATTTTCGGAGAGAGCACCTTGCTGTTCGCAAACACGAGCTCCCACAATGCTCCCTATATTCGTATGTTGAAAAAATAGGTGTAATATTGAAAATGAGCAGCATTTTACTGCAGTTTACGATCATTTGCGGACTGGAAAGAAACTCCTTGTTGTTTGACAGAATGTCCCATTGGATCTCTGTGTAGCTTTGAAAGCAATCATCTGTCATTAGTGAAAAAGCATGTTGCGTGAGGCACTAGAAACATTTGGCTACCTTGGTCTCAGGTTGAGTGAGATTAGATTTGAGTATCATCTGCATACAGATGGTAATTCAGCCAGTGACATTTGAAAGGGAAATTGAGTCCCCGTTTCTCTGACTGATTAAATCTCGGTAACAAAATTAATGAAGTGACGGTACCACAGAATTTTGATGAATTCCGAATGAACTTTGTGAAAGTACCTTATGGTCGCCATGTTGTCTCAAAACGCTGGTCTTGCCACGAGCGATAGTTCTAGTGAATTGTGCCATAAAATGGCCCTTCCTGCTCACTAGTCACTATAAGCAAAAGGGGAAACTTGGTTTTTCCAACATCGTTAACCCTAAAACAGAGGAACGGATCAGCAGAAAGATAAACTGTTTCCTTTTCCAAGGGATATTCAACTAGTCAAGAGATGGTAAACATATCAATAGTAAACGGAAGAAGTCCCTGTCAAACTCCGGACGTAACCAATCTAACCAAGAAATAAAATTTCAGGGTTCAGGAAAATATGATTTCCTAAGTTTATGGGCAGTTTAAGAAATGCCAAAGAAACCCTCCAGCCAGGTAACCAGAGTGACAAGATGCACAGATATTTTCATATTTCAGGGTTAGAAAGAATCAGCATTGATGAGCGGATTTCAAACCACAGTGAAAGTAGAACGTGCTCAGTAACATGTAAAACCTCCAATTTACAGTACATCACAAAATAGACCAAATCTCCAGGTAGGCACAGCACCATATTCTGCTATTGTGAATGAGGTGACATTACTTCCGGTGATGTGTGCGTCCCTGTGTCATTGTAAACCAGCTGACTTGTGAATACATCTCTTTTAATCCAATAGAAATATTGCTCTTTGACCTCAAAACGGTTTTGATGACCAAGACAACTTGGTAGCTCTGCATGCAGATCACGGTGGAACATTTCTGCAGTGAAACAGTGAAAATACACAACCTGTATTTTTTCGCTCGTACATCACAGTACATTAGTCATTACACTCACTAGTGGGCAGGAAGGGCCGCATCAGTTTGTAGGAACTCTCGCTTGCCAGTGGCAAGACCAGGGGTTTTTGACAAAATGGCAACTTATAGTGCTTTCTCAAGGTTCACAACTTTGTGATTAATTCAAAATGTGTTTGATTTTTGTATACCATCAATGAATTTATTTTGTAACTGAGATTTAACAACCAGTCTGAGAAACTTAGATTGCTGTTCCCGTTTAAGATCGCAGGTGGATGAAAATCATCCAACCACGAG